CTCCAAATTAGAGCTTCCTTCTTTCCCCTCCACATCCAAATTCCAAACCCCAGCTATCTGTTAAGCACAACCTCTGTGCGGTGCAACCTTGGCACTCACCCTCTTTGTCATCTTGATCATGCGCACAATACTGTATCTCCTTTCTGTGCAGTTAGTAGTTTGGGAAGGGAGAGGATGCCTCATGAGAACACACAAAGGAAAGATGGCAGCAGAATCCCTGTGTTAACAGAAACCATTTGCTGCCCTCATGTATAAAAGCTGGATTAATGGTACTGTACTTTTTTTTGCTACTGATCCACTAAAAAGCTTTTTTTTTAAGAAAGCTAAAACAGCAAGCTTCAGTTATGAAGTCAGTTCCCTTGTGTGAACACTACACCCCTAAACTATAAGATAAACAAAAGATGTGGTGTACCACATTTATACTTTAAAAGATGTGACTGTTGTCCCAAATTAACCTCTCAATGGTAACTGGTAGGGAGACAAGGGGTATAAAGCAGTATGCTATGATGGTACTGGGTTTCAAATTCATGGCCTCACATTTGCTAGGCAGGCACTCTACCACTTGAACCACTTCACCACCCATTTTTTTGCGATGGGTATTTTTTGAGATACATACAGTCTAGTGAACTATTTGCCTAGGCTGGCTTCGAACTGCGATCCTCCTGATCTCTGCCTCCTGAGTAGTTAGGATTTCAGGCATGAGCCGTAGGCACCCAGCTGGAGCCATATTTTTGAGCCCTTTGTTAACTCCTCTCTAAAGACCTTAACTCACTATGTTCCTAAAAGCCTTAAAGAGCCCAGCTTCCTATAAGTCTGCTGGACTGATCCAGGTCTGCTGCTTACCTTGAAGGATTAAGAACAGAAGTGAGAAGCTTCCCAGCAATCTGAATAGCCACCCTATATCTCTTCCTGAAAGATAAAAACAGTCACCACCCCCCTCTTAGGACTCCACTCACAGCAGGCTTCACCAGTGGCCAGTGACAATAAAAATGTTTAGCCAACAGCATGCCATTTCTGTGAGGAGAGCGCCTGATACCACAGGGACTAAGTTTTTAAAGTGTGATACAATTGTGGGTGGAAAAACTCTAGTGGTGACCTGTCTCAAAATACCAGAATAGGAGATGGACAGAACAACCAGAGACCATGAGTCTATCCATATCCACCAGCATCTTCACCTCCCTTGCAGATGCAGATGCAGACGCTCCTTCTCCTCTGCTTGTTCTCTAAATGCTGGAGCTTCTTAAGGCTCTGTCCCAGGCTCTCTTCTCATCTCACTCCATATTCTCTCCTTCATTTCAATATCTCACCAACTCCCAAATGCTGGTCAACATCCTGCCCAGAGCCTCCTCCTGTTGCAGACCTGCAAATTAACTTACCATCTTCACAGAAATGCCTGGATGTGTTAAAGGCACATGCTTAACTTGAACTTGGCATGCTTCCCCACCCCCACTTCACGCTTAATAATTTGCCACATCCCCCTCCCCCCACTGTGTCAATAATTCCCACCACCCTCTCCGCTACACAGCAGGATCTCTGGAACATAGTGATCCCCAAGAAATACGGGTCTTCAAAATACACGCATATTGTTAAGTATAATAGAGGAAGGTGCAAAAGTATGTCAGTGAGTGTCCTATCTTCTGTATGTGGAAGAGGGGAACATGAATAGATATGTATATACACAGCACACACACATAAGTATTTATTTGTTTTCACTTTTATTTATTTATTTGTGCGTTTATTTGTTCATTCATTCATTCATTTTTGTGGTGGCACAGGGTTTGAACTCAGAGCCTCATGTTTGCTAGGCGCCCTTACTACTCGAGCCACTCCACCAGCCCTATTTATTTGTTTAAAAAAAAAAAAAATTCAATTCACAATAATAAAGATAAATCACAGTAATAAAAATGGTTCCCTCTTGGCAGGAGAGGGAGAGAACAGAGTGGAGGATAATGAGATTAAAGCAAAGTTCTAGGAATGTACCTTATTATGTAGTTTGACTTCTGGAAATGTTGTTTATAATGTTTTATATGATTTGAAGAACAAATTAAATAAAGAAGGAAAAAAAATCCTAGAAGCTAAAAACAAGTTGAAGTAAACTAACCTTGAGGTAAGGCAGAGTGGGGTAGGAGAGTAAACACTGAACCTCCTATAAGGCACATCCTAAGGCCAAAAAGAACCAGAGATTTGAAATTTTATTCTGCATCTTATCGTTAGTGCCAAAACACAACATAGGTACTTTAAAACTATAGTCAGTATGTGGAGGTGTGCTAAATACAATCAACATTAAAAAAAACTATCACAGGGTGCCAATGGCTCACATCTGTAATCCTAGCTATTCTGGAGGCAGAAATCAGGAAGAAAGCAGTCTGAAGCCAGACAAGCAAATAGTCCTCAAGACCTTATCTCAAAAATGCCCATCACAAAAATGGCTAGCAGAGTGGCTCAAGCGGTAATGTGCCTGCTTAACAAGTGTTAGGCCCTGAGTTTAAACCTCAATACTGCCAGAAAAAAAAGGGAGGGAGGGAGGCAGAGAGGGAGGGAGGGAGGAAGGAAGGAAGGAAGGAAGGATGATGGATGGATGGAAGGAAGGAAGGGAGACTGTTATCCATAGAAAAGCCTGCTTACAAGGTTGGCCCTAAGCTAGCATGTGGGAACTTGAATTGTGCATGGTACCCACAATTCCTAGAACTGGTTAGAGTGGCTCACTGTACCTGCACTGTTTGAGCAAACAATATGGTTTATGCTGAACACCTGCTTTCTTTCTGGAAGTCTGGAATCTGGGTACATGGTAGGTAGGGGTGATAATGTGACCAGTCTCCAATGAAAATCCCAGACACTGAGGCTCTAATGAGCTTCTCAGCTAGTCAACACTTCACCATTTGTCAGGGAATTAAGCACATCCTGCATGACTCCAAGGGGAAGCACCCCTAGGGCCTTATGCCTGCTTTCCTCTAGTCTTTGCCCCATGCGCCTTTTCCCATTGCTGATTTTGCTTTGTATCCTTTCACTATGAAAGAAATCTTTTTTTTTTCATTTTTCTTTTATTATTCATATGTGCATACAAGGATTGGTTCATTTCTCCCCACTGCCCCCACCCCCTCCCTTACCACCCACTCCGCCCCCTCCCTCTCCCCCCCCTCAATACCCAGCAGAAACTATTTTGCCCTTATTTCTAATTTTGTTGTAGAGAGAGTATAAGCAATAATAGGAAGGAACAAGGGTTTTTGCTGGTTGAGATAAGGATAGCTATACAGGGCATTGACTCACATTGATTTCCTGTGCGTGGGTGTTACCTTCTAGGTTAATTCTTTTTGATCTAACCTTTTCTCTAGTACCTGTTCCTCTTTTCCTATTGGCCTCAGTTGCTTTAAGGTATCTGCTTTAGTTTCTCTGCGTTAAGGGCAACAAATGCTAGCTAGTTTTTTAGGTGTCTTACCTATCCTCATCCCTCCCTTGTGTGCTCTCGCTTTTATCATGTGCCTATGAAAAGAAATCTTAATCTGCATCACAGCTGTGAGTCTTTCTAGTGAATAACTGAACATAGAGTGGTCTTGGGAACCTCCAATACAACAGGATATAGTAAATAATTCATTTTGTTAATGTTACCAGGAAATAAGAGTGCCAGGATAAGACAAAGAGACCCAAGACAGTAGTATGAATTCCAACTCTATCTTATTTCTTTGCTATCTCTAGTCACTGAAAAGGCATACACAGAAAGCAATATGGAGATTCCTCAAAGAACTATATATAGAACTGCCATATGATCCAGTGATACCACTCCGGGGCATCTACCTGAAGGAACGTTAAGTCAGGATACAATAGAGATACCTGTACAACAATGTTTATTGTAGTACAGTTCACAATAGCCAAGCTATGCAAACAACCCAGATGCCCTACAACTATGAATGGATTCAGCCGTAAGGAAGAATGACACCATGTACTTTGATTGTAAATGGATGGAACTGGACATAACGTTAAGTGAAGTAAGCCAGGTTCAGAAAGACAAAGGCTGCATTTTTTCTCTCATATGTGGAAAACAGATTCAAAAGATAAACGTACACCCAAAACCAAACATGATCATATACACATCTACATGTAGAATGTGTTTGTAAAGTGGAATTACACTATGGAACTTGGAGGAGGAGGGAAAGGAAAAGAGAATGACAGCCAACAATATCAAAATAGAACATATCTGGGCAGGCAGAGGTCACAACCATGTGTACTGAGAGCTGGTAACTAATGCGGGTGGAAAGGAAGAGTAAGGGAGGGTAATGGAAGGGACTGAACTGACCAAAGTAAATATACTCACAGTAGGGATACTTTGAGAAATCCCATTGAACACTGGCTTTAGAATTAAAAATGAAAGACAGGACTGTAAAATAGGTACAGTGTGGAGTACTTGTGGGAGTGGGGAGGGAGAATGGAGGAAATGAAAGTGAAGGAACATGGTTGATAGGCTTCATACACATATAGGAAATAGAATGATGGAACCTCTTGCTGACACTGTCTCCTCAGCAGCAGGGACAGCCCAATACCTGCCCCAAAGTATAATCAGGTGTCCCCCACCTTCTTTTGCACCCTCTCGAACCCTGTACTTCTCATGGGAGCAAATGGGTGTACTGTATTTATATATGCCTTCCTTCCAAGAGCAAAGCTCCTTGAAGGCAGACCTCGTATTTTTCAGCAATCTGACATGTAGCAGGCCTAAAATTTTAACAGAATCCCAGCAGTCAGGAGACTGAGGTAGGAGGATCCAGTGTTCCAGGCCAGCCTGGGCTACAGAGCAAGACCATGTCTCAAAAAAAAAAAAAGTCTCACTATGTCTGTAAACAAACCTGGTGTTAATTATGTAGTTCACCCTGCCGGGCGGGAACTCAGGGACACACTGAATCAGTAAGGCCCAGCATCGTCCCTGCTGATCTTGGTGTGGTGACGTCTATGTTAGTACACAGAAGCCAGCCTGGCACTCAGAAGAACTGAAGTCACAGAGAAGGACTCACCACCTCGTGGGACTTGGGAACAGGTATGATGATGGCCAACACACAGATGAGCTGGAAGATGGCACCCAGAAAGAGTCCGTAGCGCAGCAGGTTCTCCAGGAAAGTGGGCTCAGGCACCTCGGGAGGTGAGAAGTCCAGGTCGGAGGCCATGGCACAAACTGCCACTGCTTGAGGTCTCTTTTGACTTGCCCCTCTTCAAAGCCAACTTCTAAATGCAAAGAAAGTGTCAGGTTTCCACAACTGACTTTTAAACTGTCCTGCTTGCACACACACACACACACACATTTCTTGAATCTAAGTAAGAGGATATATGGGGTCAGTGAACTGTTCTTTCAGCTTTTTTGTATGCTTTATGTTTTCCAAATATAAAGTTAAGGAAAATAAGTAAATAGAAGGGGAAATACCTCTACGAGAATCTCAAATCAATGTACATTACTGAAGGCCTGCTAGATTACCAGGTTAGTGTTTTTATTCATTCATCTAGTCACTCACTCATCGAACACTTACTGGATACCAAGCACACAAGAGGACAGAGGCAGATGATGAACCCATGGAGAGAAGCTATGCCAGGAAGTGGTAGCTATTTCGGAAAACACTTAAGCAGGGCATCATTTTGTTTTGTATGCAGTGACTGATGAACAGTGATGAGAATGCTATAGCAGAGACACCTCATTATCTGAGGGAAGCATATTCCAGGCAGAAAGAAAAGCAAGTGTAGAGGCCCCAGGTGGGGAAATGGGACCAATACGGCAGAGGACTGATCAGGAAGGAGACTGGAAGCAGGTGAGACCATTGAGAGGGCAAAACTTGCAGGATCCCAACACTTCCAATTTGAGTAAAATGTAAAGCCACTGAAGGGTTTTGAGCAGAGAAATGAGATAATCTAAATTACATTTTTCAATGGGGAAACAGAAACCAGAGGAGGGGCAAAGTAGACACAGGAAGACCAGTGAATCAATAACACAGACCAGAGATACTGGTGTGTGGACAACAGGAGCCACTGTGGCCAGCAATGGTAGGTCCAGCCTCCACCCACTTCTTCCACCTGCCTCTCCTTTCACCAGCTTATATTGGTACTCCTAATACCATGGTTGAGCTGAAAGCACTGCCTGGCTCTCCAGGAGCTCTGCACTCTTTCAAATCCCTTGGCCTGTCAGGTCTCACCATGTACAAAATACCCTTCCTGCTTCATGAAGGCCCCACTCTACCTCCAAAGCTGACCTCAAGTCCCCCCTCCCTCACGTCTTTTCCTTTACCTCCTTCTCCTCTGGTATGACTGAACTGCTCCCCCTCCCCGTGGCACCCATGAGTGGCTTCCTTTTGCCATTCCGGCAATACAGGGACAAATACGCTGCAGCAGCAGAAGCACCTGACTCACAGCCTTTGTGTTTTCAGAGATCTGTGCCACATTGCAATTTTCAGCTAAATCTGAGTTCTCTGACATGGTGACCATTAGCTACTCGTGGTTGTATGGACTTGAAATGCAGCTAGCCTTTTCAGCAAGTGGTGCTAGGAAACTGGATATCCATGGGCAAAAGAATGAAACTGAACTTAGCTTGCACCATATACAAAAATTAACTCAAAATGGATCAAAAACTAAATTTATAAGCTAAACTGCTAACGAAAGCTGACATTGGGTTTGGCAATGATTTCTTGTATATGACAACAAAAGCACAGGCAACAAAGACAAAATAAATTGGACTTCATATCAAAGTTAAACTTTTTGTGCGTAAGAGGGTTATCCAGAGCACTGAGAATATATTTGTGAATAATGTATCACAGCATATAAAAAACTTCCACAATGCAGCAGCAGAACAAAATAACTCAACTTTAAAATGGGCAAAGGACTTGCATAGGCAGTTTTTTTTTAATTATTTTATTATTCATATGTGCATACAAGCCTTGGGTCATTTCTCCCCCCTCCCCCACCCCCTCCCTACCACCCACTCACCCTCCCTCTTCCCCCCCACCCCCTCAATACCCAGCAGAAACTATTTTGCCTTTTCTAATTTTGTTGTAGAAGAGAGTATAAGCAAAATAGGAAGAACAAGGGTTTTGCTGGTTGATATAGGATAGCTATACAGGGCATTGACTCGCATTGATTTCCTGTGCATGTGTTACCTTCTAGGTTATTCTTTTTGATCTAACTTTTTCTCTAGTTCCGTTCCCCTTTTCCTATTGGCCTCAGTTGCTTTAAGGTATCTGCTTTATTTCTCTGCATTGAGGCAACAAATGCTAGCTAATTTTTTAGGGTCTTACCTATCCTCACCTCTCCTTGTGTGCTAAAGCTTTTATCATGTGTCATAGTTCCAATCCCCTTTTGTTTTGCCCTTGAATCTAATGTCCACATAATGAGGAAACATACATTTTTGGTCTTTTGGGCCAGGCTAACCTCACTCAGAATATTTCCCAATTCCATCCATTTACCAGCGAAGAAATTCGTTCTTTTTCATGGCTGCATAATTCCATTGTTTTAGATACCACATTTCTTGTAATCCCATTCGTCAGTGTAGCACTGCTGTTTCCATAACTTGGCTATTGTGATAGTGCTGCAATAAACAATAAACATGGGTGTGCAGGTGCCTCTGGAGTAACCTGTGTCACAGTCTTTTGGGTATATCCCCAAGAGTGGTATTGCTGGATCAAATGGTGTTTGATGTCTAGTTTTTAAGTAGCCTGGTTGTACTAGTCTACATTCCCACCAACAGTGTAAGAGGGTTCCTTTTTCCCGGCATCCTCGCCAACACCTGTTGTTGGTGGTGTTGCTGATGATGGCTATTCTAACAGGGGTCATAGGCAGTTCTTAAAAAAAGATATACACAGGGCTGGTGGAATGGCCCAAACGGTAGAGTGCCTCCCTAACAAGTGCAAGGCTCTGAGTTCATACACAGCACCATCAAAAAAAAGATATACAGGGACCAATAAGCACATGGAAAGATGCTTAGAATTGTTATTTCCTAGGGAAATGCAAATCAAAACTGCCAAGACACCATTTCATACCTTTAATGTAGTCATTTAAAGGGGGAGGGAAGAACATAAAAAAATAAAATAATAAAGGGTGGCAGTCAGATGTGTTGGTCCACACCTGACTAGCTACTAAGGAGACAGACTAGGAGGACTAGAAGGATCAGTTCAAGGTCAGCCTGGACAAAAAGTTAGTGAGACCCCACCTCAACAAGTAAGTCAGGTATGGTGGTACGCTTCTGTAATTCCAGCTATGCAAGAGGTGTAGATAAAAGGATCACAGTCTGAGGGCAGCCCTGAGCAAAAAACATGAGACCCTATCCAAAAATTAATAAATAAATAAAGCAAAAAAGGGTTGGGGGTATGGCTCAAGTGGTAGAGTACTTGCCTAGCAAGCACAAGTTCAAACTCTCAGTACTGCCAAATTAATTAATTAATTAGTTAATTAAAAGGGAGGGAATAATAAGTATTGAAGAGAATGTGGAGAAACTGGAATCCTACATATTGCTGGTGGAAATTTTAAATGGTACAGCCACTATGGAAAAGTTTGGTACTGCCTCAAAAAAAGTTATTCTATGATCCAAAAGGACTTTCTAGATATCAATGTTCACAGTACCATCATTCACAATAGCCAAAGATTTCAAACAACCAAGAGTTCAGCTGATGAACAAAATGGGGTGTACACATACGAAGGAATAGTATTCAACCATAAACGGAATAAAATTTGGGGCTGGGGATGTAGCTCAGTGGTAGAGCATTTGCCAGGGTTTGATCCATGGCACTGCAAAAAAAAAAAGTGGATAAATGCTTCAACATAGAAACTTCTTGAAAATACTATGTGAAATAAAAAGGACTAGTACTACATGGTTCCACTTGTATGTCATTCTTAGAATGGGTAAATTCATAGAGACAGGAAGATCAGAGATTACCAGAGGCTGGGAGAGGGAAGATGAGAAGTTATTCTTTCTTTTTTCTTTTTTTTTGCAGTACTGGGGTTTGAATTCAGGGCCTATACCTTGAACTACTCCACCAGCCCTTTGTTGTGATGGGTTTTGAGTAGCCAAGATTACAGGTGTGAGCCACAGGTGCCTGGCAGAGTTATTCTTTAATGGATATAGAGTTTTTGTTTAGGAGGATGAAGAAAAAGTTCTGGAAATAGTAGTGATGGTTATCAACACTGCTAATATGCCACTGAATTTTATACTTAATATGGTCATTTTATTATACACACACACACACACACACACATACACACACACACACACACACACACACAGACACAAATCTTTTTGGTGGTACTGAGGTTTGAACACAGGGCCTCATGCTTGCTATGTAGACACTAGCACTTGAGCCAGGCTCCCAGCCCTGTTTTTATGTATGTATAACACAACAAAATGAAGCAGTTTACCTGTTTCTTTTTATTTATTTATTTATTTTTTGGCGGTACTGGGGTTTGAACCTCCCATTTGCTAGGCAGGTGCCCTACCACTAGAGTTATGCTGCCAGCCTTCTTTTTACTTTTTAAATGTGGCTACTAGAAAATTTTGAATTACAGATGTGGCCTCTATTACATTTCTATAGGATGGCCCTGGCCACGAAAGACTGTCAGAAGACCTTCCTCCAGCTTGGCTCTGCTGTTTCTCTGCTTTGTAATGTTTTCCCAACATGAAGAATGAAGGATGATAAAAATTCCTTTTGTTTACACAAATGTGTACCATGTCCCTTTCAACCTGGTCACTGCAGAAGGTCATGTGCCTGGGACAGCAGGATAGCCGTTGAGGGCAGTCCTGCTGCTCTGGGAATGGCCTTCAAAGCCTGAGGCAGTTTTTTCTGAGTCCTCAGAGCCGCAGACTTTCACACTCCCAGGAAGGATCTAACTTCTGGAAAGAACCCAACCCCATCTAGTTCCAAGTGTGGTGAATCAGGTGGGGCATGATGCTTAGGATACCATTTTTGGTCAAATGCAAGGTATGAGCGCAGGCTCCGCGCTGACTGCTTGGAGTGGTTCATCAGCTGGCCCTGAAGGGAATTCCAAGGCTGCCGCAAGTACAGCTTCACTGGAGGCCGCACAGCCCTCACAGAGCCCCAGCACGGCTTAAAGAAAGCAGTCCCACTTCTTCAGTGTACTTCATAGTGGGATGCCCTGGGCCCAAGCTTCATGCTAAAGGCTGTAATAGGCCTACTGTGCTCATCAATACTAAGGTTTATTAATGTTACTAAAAGCAGTATTTGGGGTGATATGGG